CTCCTCCTCTGGCCGCCACGTTCCTCCTCCTCTGGCCGCCCGTTCCTCCTCTGGCCGCCACGTTCCTCCTCCTCTGGCCGCCACGTTCCTCCTCCTCCTCTGGCCGCCACGTTCCTCCTCCTCTGGCCGCCCTGTTCCTCCTCCTCTGGCCGCCCGTTCCTCTTCTTGTGGCCGCCCGTTCCTCTTCTTCTGGCCGCCCGTTCCTCCTCCTCTGGCCGCCCGTTCCTCCTCCTCTGGCCGCCGTTCCTCCTCCTCTGGCCGCCCGTTTCTTCTCCTCTGTGTACCCAGCAATCATAGTGATACATGGTGAATGTTTGATGCAGCAACACCCTCAAGATCCGAGCTGTTGTTACAGCGATGACCATCTGAGGTCATGGTGACCAACACTGGCCTGCCATGAAAAGATACGGTCATGGAATTGGGAATAGAGTATGTTGCATGATATGACATAGAACAGGGGTGGGCAACTCCGGCCCTCCAGCTGTGCTTTAACTACAAGTCCCATAATGCCTCTGGGAGTCATGTTTGTCATTTGTCTTGTAGCTCCTTTAAGAGCTGGAGGGTCGCCCCTGCTATGCTGGTCTTTTGTTATCACAACCACTATGTTCTTCTCTTTCCAAGCCTACTAAACACTCTTCATCTGTGTGTAACTAAAGGCCGAGAGTTGGGGGACCTTTCTCTCTCTGAACTTCTTTGGCGGTGCTGGTTCACTCAGTCTGGTACTGAAGTTGGATTTCCAGTTGAGAAACCTGGTCCCTAATCAGTTTTTCCTACGCTTCCATTATAGACAGTACAGTCTGTGGATGTCTTTTCTTAGAGTTTACTCCAGAAACTTGTAGACCCGGGGAAGTGGGTGGAACCAAAGCTGCAACAATGGTTCTCTCTGCTAACAGTCTCTGGATGGGTACTCAGACTTCCAACCTGATCCTCACTCCCAGCAGTTGGAAGATGCTTCCACAAAGCAGAGGTTCCTGTGTTTTCTCTGCACCAGGTGTGTGACTGTAAGGTCTGTTAGGAGGTACATCATGGGTAAGGCCTTCTATCAACAGTAGGTCTAATCACAGGGGGCGAAACCCATGGAATTGGGCTTGCTCCCTGGACCTCAGACTAAAGACCCTTCTACAATTCTATCATATATTTATCAGTTCCTGATGCAACCCATTGGAAATAAACTCCTCAGGAGCCACCCATCCTTGACCATCTCCCTCTGACCTCCACATCATTACAGAACACAGTAGTGATATGGCAGTCAGGAGGAGGAACCAATGAGCTCTGCTGGGGGATTCAGAAGTTCAACACTCCTAGAAGTGTCTGTTTCTCTGGTGGACGGTTCATTAACTATGGAGCGGTCTCCAGCAGTCCTGGCAGCAGGAGAGGTAAGTACTAACGTTATCCACCCCAGATAATAGCTTTCTCTGCAATTTTATATTGATGAATCGGTCGCTTTCAATAGTAACCCCACCCATCATACTATACTATGACGACGGTGAAGGTGATGTCATCGGAACAGCAGGGAATCCGAACACTAGGTACCCCTTTCTCTTAATTCCTGCAGGGTTAGCCAAAGCTGTTGTGTAACTACAGGGCCCATGAGGCGTTACGAGATTCTGACAGCCACATACATGACTTGAAGAGGCAAAAGCATGATTGGGTTTGTAGTTTCACCACGGCTGGAGGGCCGGAGTTTGGCTGCCCCTGTAGGTAATCAATGAGGATAAGCTCCTGGTGGCAGCCATATTGTTTAGCTCCAGGTGGCAGCCATATGGTTGTAGCTCCTGGTGTCAGCCATATTGTTGTAGCTCCAGGTGGCAGCCATATTATTGAAGCTCCAGGTGGCATCCATATGATTGTAGCTCCTGATGTCAGCCACATTGTTGTAGCTCCTGGTGTCAGCCACATTGTTGTAGCTCATGGTGTCAGCCACATTGTTGTAGCTCCTGGTGTCAGCCATATTGTTGTAGTTCCTGGTGGCAGCCATATTGTTGTAGCTCCAGGTGGCAGCCATATTGTTGTAGCTCCAGGTGGCAGCCATATTGTTGTAGCTCCTGGTGGCAGCCATATTGTTGTAGCTCCAGGTGGCAGCCATATTTTTGTAGCTCCCGGTGGCAGCCATATTGTTGTAGGTCCTGGTGGCAGCCATATTGTTGTAGCTCCTAATGGCAGACGTTATTGTAGCTCTTATCGGAAGACATGTTGACGTACAACTAGAAAACATGTCACATACTTCAGATTTAGAAATGCAACCTGCTCTGAGCTGATGGCAATGTTTGGTGGGTTTTAATAGATGACCTCAGATCTGAACATTAGCAGTGTGTTCCTCCAGGTCTGCTGGGCTACAACAAAATGGCCGCAAAAGCCCAATCACGAAGAGCCTGCCTTCTACTCATGATTGATCATTGGGGGATGGGCACTATTGTTGCAGGAAGCGAATGGAACAGAGTGCGAGCTATGGAGCCAAACGGCAACAACCTGACGGAGAGGATATTACACCTCACCCTGGAGATAATCTACCTGCTGACCGGAGAGGTGAGGAGGATTCTGGGAGAGCACCCGACACGTGTGTTTCCATTTTTATGATTGATAGCCGCCTGTAAAAGATAACTGTCCTCCAGTTTTATTTCAGCAGCAGATCGCTAGGGAAGAGCTTCGGGTTCGGATCGAGGTTGAGTATGTGGTGAACCTAACCTGTGTTTTGGATTGCAGACGCGGCACAGCAATCAACTACCAATAATGCCGAACCATCTGAAAAAGCCTTTGTTTTTTGCAGGTTGCAAAATACGGTGTCAGTGACGCTGTCCGTACATCGGAGTCCCCACTTATATCCGAGTCCTTAGGACTTGGATGTAAAGGGGGTGTCTGGGGACGCCGATATAATAGGGGACTCTAATGTAAAGGGTAAAACAGTAGAAAGGCATCATGGCACACTAACAAGCCCGCATGTAAAACAACTTGTCTCACCACTAAGGTTAATAACAGAGGTTTGGATACACGTCTTCTGCAGAAAATGTGAAAGCCGCACAGCCGCGCCAAGGCACCTCTTATAGTGCGGTCCTAACTCTAAACTATGAGAGTCTCCACCTTGGAGCACATGGGAGCAGAAGATTTCAAATTAGGTGCAGGTTTGTCAGGAGGAAGCCCAAACTCCTTAAAGGCACAGGGACACACAAGGGATCCCGCACATCCAAATGGCAGCTGAGAACCCCCATGCGTCGCTGCACCAAATCGGTCAAGCAAAACAAATGACAAACGCACTCAGCAATTAGTCACCGGCTACAGTATACACGTGTGCACCTTACTGTATAGCCGGTGACGAATTGCTGAGTGCGTTTGTCATTTGTTTTGCTCTAATGTAAAGGGGTCTGGGGATTCTGATGTAAGGGGGGGCTCTGATGTAAGGGGGGCTCTTCTGATATAAAGGGGGGGCTCTGGGGATGCTGATGTAAGGTGGGACTCTGATGTTAAGGGGGGTTTGGAGATGCTGATGTAAGGGGGGACTCTGATGCGAGGCGGCACTCTAATGTAAGGGAGGACTCTGGGCACTGAGTCCACAGGGTTCCTCCATTATATCGGAGTCCCGCCTTACATCTGAGACATTAGGGCTCTGATGTAAAGGGGGACTCTGATATAAGGGGTGACTGTGGGGACTCTGCAAGGGGGATATCTAGTGTAAGGGTGGACTCTGGGCACTGAGTAACCAGGGTTCCCCCCTTACATTTGTTTCCCTCCCTTACATTCGAGATCTTAGGACTCTGATGTAAAGGGGGACTCTGAGGTAAGGGGTGGCACTGAGTCCCCAGGGTTCTTTGCTTACATTAGAGTCCTTAGGGAGGACACGGATGTAAGGGGGGGGGGACTCTGGGTAATCTGATGTAAGGGAGGACTCTAATGTAAGAAGGAACTCTGAGGACACTGATGCAAGGGGGAAATCCAGTGTAAAGGAGGTCTTAGGGCACTGAGTCCCCAGGGTTCCCCCTTACGTGAGCATCCCTCTTACATCAGATCCCACCTTTATATTCAAGATCTTAGGACTCTGGGGACTCTAATGGAAAGGGGGACTCTGAAGTAAGGGGTGACAGTCCCCAGGGTTCCTCCCCTTACATTAGAGTCCTTAGAGAGGACTCTGATGTAAGGGGGGGACTCTGATGTAAGGGGTGGCATTGAGTCTCCAGGGTCCCCGCCCCCTTACATTAGCATCCTTAGGGAGTACTCTGATGTAAGCGGGGACTCTGATGTAAGGGGGGGGGGGGTACTCTGAAGTAAGGGGTGGCATTGAGTCTCCAGGGTCCCGCCCCCTTACATTAGCATCCTTAGAGAGGACTCTGATGTAAGGTGGGACTCTGGGGACTTTTTCATTTAATTTGATTTGAGTTGTATATTATGGTAAAGTGATCTAAAGTATGGGTGTCAGATTTTGGAAAGGGGAGCAATTTCAGTGCTTGCCATAGGCACCATTTTATGTAGATCTGCCTCTGCCTGCACTGTGATTGATATTGTCTTAGCAGAGTAGTAACCGACACAATGTGACTGGAAGCAACTTAAAGGCTTATTTGCAAATTATGATAAGAAATATGGCCACCTCTGACAGATATGTCGTCGATCCGATCACAGCATCTCTCTCCCACAGGATGATATAGTTGTGAAAAAGACATCGGGGGATGGACAGAACTCCATTATGGTTCCCCTACATTCCTTACTGATCCCAGAAAGAAACAATGAACAGAAGATGTTTGAAGTCACCAAGAAGATCATCGACCTCCTGACAGGAGAGGTGAGCAGTGCCGGGGATTCTGGGACATGATCCAGGAACAGACATGGGATGTGTCTGGATGGTGACTGTATCATTGTGTGTGTCAGGTTCCTATAAGGTGTCAGGATGTCTCTGTCTATTTCTCCATGAAGGAGTGGGAGTATCTAGAAGGACACAAAGATGTCTACAAGGACGTCATGATGGGGGATGTGTCTGGACGGTGACTACAGTATTTTAATTACTTTGTTTTAAATTTATATTCAGAGTGGAAACTGGAGCAATTTTAATGTTAGTGTCAAAGAAGAGATAAAAGGAGAAGAGGAGTATAGTGTTATGAAGGAGCAGAAGTGTTTAGAAGGACACAGGGATCTCTACAAGGACGTCGTGATGGAGAATGAGCCGCCCCTCACATCACCGGGTAAGAGGACAGAGCAGTACGGAGGGTCCACCTAGATCCCCCATCATCTGATACACACATAGAAACAATGTATTCAGTCAGTGTGTGTGTTTCCTACAGATGGATCCAGTAAGAGGAACCCACCAGAGAGATGTCCCCGTCATCTGTATTCCCAGGATTCCACACAGGAACATCATGAGATCCCTCAGACCCGTCCTCGGTATTCCCGGGATTCCACACAGGAACATCATGAGATCCCTCAGGCCCATCCTCTGTATTCCCGGGATTCCACACAAGAAGATCACGAGATCCCTCAGGCCCGTCCTCAGTATTCCCGGGATTCCACACTGGAAGATCTTACCGTCCCTCACCATGATCAGGTAGATGGCACTGAGGCAAAACTCAAATTTTGCTATAAACTGTATTATTTATATTCTTCTTATATAGCCTGAGAACAATAGTGCTCACAATCATTTTGGGATTTTAGAGGGCAGAAGTGTTTGATATAAAAACTGAAGTCAAAGTGGAAGAAGAGACGCATGTGAGCGGACATCAACTGTCTATGAAGGAAGCTGAAATGTTGGGTACAATTACCATGGAGGAATCTTCTCTAGACGTCGGCATAGGTACGTACTGCATACAAATATTGCAGCACCTTCACATTTTTATTTTACGTAATTCATTCACATTTCATTTTAATTTCATCAAGTTTTAGTATGCACCAATGAGGAAGAACCAACAAACCATCACACACATTCTTAGACATGGTGTGCTATCCTATGAAAGAATAAAACTGGCTTGTTACGATATGATGGAACTGTATACAGTGTACCTATATCTCATCCCATACACTATATGGAAGGCCCATCTCCTTTCTCACTGTATTGTTTTGTTCTCATCCAGAGCCAGGACAAGATCCTATGCTAGCCATGGAGAAGATGCTAAAGTGCCCTGTGACAGTAGGCGGGAAGTCTCAAACCCTTCACAGCCTCCTCCCTCCAGGTATCTTCTATATTGTACTGGCCGTGAAGAAGATTTGAACAATGACAGCTGGTTCCATAATGTGAACTTGAAGACACGCTTCATGTAGCATTCATTCAGATAAAGGACAGCCAAAAGGTCCGTTTCCATTCCTCAATATAACGTCATGTGACCAACAAATGAGGAGGAGATACTGTACACCATATGAAGGTCCATCTCCATTCCTCAATATAACATCATGTCCCCAACAAATGAGGAGGAGATACTGTACACCATATGAAGGTCCATCTCCATTCCTCAATATAACGTCATGTCCCAAACAAATGAGGAGGAGATACTGTACACCATATGAAGGTCCATCTCCATTCCCCAATATAACGTCATGTCCCCATCAAATGAGGAGGAGATACTGTACACCATATGAAGATCCATCTCCATTTCTCAATATAATGTCATGTCCCCAACAAATGAGGAGATACTGTACACCATATGAAGGTCCATCTCCATTCCTCAATAAAAAGATAGTGTTCTCAACAAATGAGGTGAACCTATTTCCATGCCAGAGACCTGGTGGGGAACAGTTGACTACTAGACCCACACACTTGACTTCTATCTGCAAAACATGAACAATTAACATATTATTATTATACATAATATTTTTAATGAAATATTTCCAGCAGGACACAATGGATGGAATGCTCCACAGGGACATCTTACGTTCTCTGCAGATTACAATAAAGAAGACGATGACATGGCACAGAATTCTCCAACAGTAAGTCTTGTTACCCCAAATATACATCACAAACTTAATCAAATAGTAAAGTCAACAGATCGGCTTTTATTCTGAGGAGCCCAAAAAAATAAATCTCATACTATTATCCCAAATGTTTAGCCAAGCTTACACGTTGAAGATACATTCCCAGATGTTTCTGTAGCACTCACCCCCGAAGGAGCCGCTGGATATGAACTAGGGCTCTCCTACCTGTTTTGCCAGCCACCGGCACCCTTTCTCAGCTCCAGCAACACCGACACTCCGGAACAGAACAGGCTCGAGTCGTCGGGTCTTTTTAGCATTTATTGCACAGGATCAACTAGGAGAGAGGGTTGGGGGTTGCAGGATACCCGAGTAACAATTTGGAGGACTCTGTCTTCTCCCTCACAACGGCTTGTATCAGTAGCACAACGGTCCTGTAAGAGCGACCAGTAATATGTAGTAGCACAGAGAACAGCCAGGAATAGTCCAGGACCTTGAGAGAGAACTGTCACAGGACTTGTAGTGCACAAACTGGCTTCTCTTCAGTAAAGTACCTGAGAATAGAGTGAGGGACCTCTTACAGGGTTCCAGACGGTAGATGTCACCAGCTCCTCTGCGACATTCTTCCATAAGCAGATTCCACCTCCAGCCCAGCTTCCATCAGGTTCCTTTCCAGTAGCATCTAAGGTCTCTGGGCCCCCAGCATCTGCCACATGCCGAGGCCTAGACCGGGCATCCTGTAGTATCTTACAGGCATCCTGTAGTATCTTAGGCCTCTAGGCCCCCAGTATCTGCCACATGCTAAGGCCTAGACCAGGCATTCTGTAGTATCTTAGGCCTCTAGGCCCCCAGCATCTGCCACATGCTGAGGCCCAGGCCAGGCATCTGTAGCACATAGATCTCCTCCCCTCCCAGGGAGGGCCCCAGGGGAGAGAGAGAGTTCTGGAAGGTGTCCCCAAACCTTTTATCACCTTGCTCCAGCCATACCTCTGAGTCGCCCTGCTCAGGGATTGGTCAGGAGTCAGGTGCACAGTCTGAGGATGGATCCTCACTCACTGTGTGCTGAGTCCCCAACCCAGCAACAGGGGAAGCAATCAATCCACCAGACTCAGGGAATCCAGCAGAACTCAGAGCAATCAGCATCCAGACTGATTACACTCCAGATATAGAACTAAATTTAGTAGCGATATAGCAGAGGGCGCAACATTTCCAACCCTGAGGAACCTTCTCCTCATAATGTCCATTCTTTTTCAGGATTATGAAAAATCATTTGAAGGAAAACATGACCTCGTTGAACCCCAGAGAACACTCACCAATAAAAAATATTTTCTGTGTCCCGAGTGCGGAAAGTCCTTCTTAAAGAAATCAAACTTTGTGGAACATCAGCGAGTTCACACTGGCGAAAAACCCTTTTCGTGTTCCGAGTGTGAGAAGTCCTTCAAGAGGAAATCGAATCTCGTTGAGCACCAGCGAACCCACACCGGTGAAAAACCATATTCGTGTTCCGAGTGCGGGAAATGCTTCAAAAAGAAATCGAATCTCATCGTACATCAGAGGATTCACACAAGTGAAAACCCCTTTTCCTGTTCCGAGTGTGGGAAGTCCTTCAAAAACAAATCGAATCTCATTGTGCACCAGAGCATCCACACCAGCGAAAAACCGTTTACATGTCCCGAGTGTGGGAAGTCCTTCACAAACAAATCCAATCTCTTTGAACACCAGAGAATCCACACCAGCGATAAATGCTTTTCGTGCTCCGAGTGTAAGAGGTCCTTCATAAACAAATCCAAACTCGTCCAGCATCAGAGAATCCACACCGGGGAGAAGCCCTACTTGTGTACCGAGTGCGGAAAGTCTTTCAGCCTGAAATCGATACTCAAAATACACCAGAGAGTTCACACCGGCGAAAAGCCCTTTTCCTGTTCCGAGTGTGGGAAGTGCTTCTCCAATAAAGGGAACTGTGACAAGCACATGAGGATTCACACCGGGGAGAAGCCGTTTTCCTGTTCAGAATGCGGCAAATGTTTTGCGCAGAAAGTGACGCTAATTATCCACGAGAGCATACACAACACCTCAGAGAAGCCCTGTTCCTGTTCCGAGTGTGGGAAGTGCTTCTCCAGTAAAGGGAACCTGGATAAGCACATGAGAGTTCACACCGGGGAGAAGCCATTTTCCTGTCCGGAATGCGGCAAACTTTTTGCGCAGAAAGTGACGCTTATTATCCACCAGAAGACACACGGTGCCGGAGACCACTGATAAACTTCTGGTGGACTCTCATGGGCTGATTCGTTATGTCTGTAGGTATAATCATAGAATAAAGAGGAGGCCATCTGAAAGGATCAACCAACTACTATGGAATATTTATTTTTTATTGTTGTGTGATATTTTTTTATTTATGTAGCCCCCATCACCTTCTGTGATGTGGCTACTAGACATTTAGTGGTAGCTGGGGCTGTAGTCAGCCTGGCTGGATTTGTAGTGGCAATTATCTGGTTAATTCCAGGTGTCTGGCATTGCCTGTAACCCCCCTGGGTGGAGTGTGACTCTGTCATATTGTTGGACAGCCAATGAGAGGCACTGTAGTGTATGTACAGCACAGCAGCCAATCACTGGGTTTCTCCCAGCCAGTGGTGCATGCTAGGATAGGCTATATATACTGGAGGGATTTGCCATGTGCTCAGACTAGCCGGGACCAGCCATGGGATAGGGCTCAGGCTAGGCCTGAGATCTGGGGGTGGGCATGGGCTGGTGTGAGGGAAAGGTTTGCCTGAGGCCTCCAACATGGAGGAGGCCTGTGTTTCTGATAGAGGAAGAGACGCAGGACCAATGCATGCTGGCTCTGGAACTAAGAGGACTTATGGTCGGTGTATTTCCCATTGAGGATCTATGTCCATCTTGCTCATCTGCTACATCAGTTGCCATCCGCTGCCTCCCAAGTGGATCTACACTGATATGGCAACCGGGTCTGGTGAGTCTGGAGCTCTGGTCAGTCAGTTACCCCTGGACACCTAGAACCCCCCCATATCCTCTCTCCCCAGTGAAGATGTTCAATAAAACGTTATTCTGCATTATACTACTGGAGTGGACATCAGTCTGTGGGCACCAGAAGAAGGGCGGTTAGTGTTAATGGGTGGGCAGCTGAAGAACATACCCTAGAACAGGGGTAGCCAAACTCCGGCCCTCCAGCTGTGGCGGAACTACAAATCCCATGATGCATCTCTCCAGGAGTCATGTCTGTGGATGTGAGAATCTTGGAATGGCTGATGGAATTTGAAGTTAAACCACAGCTGGAGGGCCGGACTTTGGCTAGCCCTGCCCTAGACAGACTAGAGATGAACCGGGCCTCCAGTGGCTCCTTCGGGGGTGAGCGCTACATTTAGTTTTTTTTTTCTACTCTACACACATTTTGGAGTTATAATGTATCGTACATTTTCATGTTGTACTTGCTGAAAACTTTTTGCCCTTATCTATTCTGGGGATTTTCCCCTCTTCCTGTTGCATCATGCAGACAAGAATTCAGTGCAGGAGACTTGGACGTTGGAGGAATCTCATCTCCCATTTTGGAACTTTGGGTAATTTGGCTGCCTAGGACCTCCTAAATGGAGGTTCATTCGATTTCGTATTCAGTCCAACATTTCCACGGCAGTGGTGAACATCAACAATCGGGGAGGAACCTGAAGTCTGGCTGCGGCAGGAAGTGGAAAAGATCCTGTCCTGGATAGAAGTTCACGTTTACGCCATGCCCGCCATTTACATGCCAGGCGTGGACAATTGGCAGGCAAACTTTGTCAGCTATCACCCCTGGTGAGACCCCCCCCCCTCCCCCCCCAGAACTTCCCGCACAGCACTGCTGAACGCCAGCATAGCCCATCTGAGACCCCACACACTTATCCAAGAGCCGACATAGCCCTCCTGAGACCCCACACAGCCATCTGAGAGCCCGCACAGTTATCCAAGAGCCTGCATAGCCCACCTGAGACCCCACACAGCGATCTGAGAGCTTGCATAGCCCACCTGAGACTCCACACAGCCAAATGAGAGGCCACATAGCCCACCTGAGACCCCACACAGCCATCTGAGAGGCCGCATAGCCCACCTGAGACTCCACACAGCTATCTGATAGCCAACCTGAGACTCCACATAGCCATCTGAGAGCTCGCATAGCCCACCTGAGACTCCACACAGCTATCTGATAGCCCACCTGAGACTCCACATAGCCATCTAAGAGGCCGCGTAGCCCACCTGAGACCCAACACAGCCATCTGAGAGCCCACCTGAGACCCCACACAGCTATCTGAGAGCAGCATAGCCCACCTGAGAGTTCTGCTCGAAGGGGGGTGAGGGTGGGTCCGGAGGGGAGGAGGAGGTGGAGCCACGCCAACACTCAGAGGATCATCCCACAGCCCGGCACCCAGACAGTACAGGAGCCCACCACCGTCGTTGAGAGCCAGCCTTCACTTTCCTTGCGGTGAGTTACAGAATTTCCTCCCTTTTTTACTCACCCACCATATCTCACCTTGCCATATTTGTGTTTACATCTGTCCCATCTGGTTGGACCTCCACACCACCCATCCTAAGAGGGACCGTCTCCCCCACTGTTCCACTTCGTCTGACGGCCTTCAAAAAAGCGAATTATCGACCTACCATAGGTGAGTACATCACCTACCCCTCTCATCCAACCTCGCCACATTTATTGCGCCCGGTAGTGGCGCTTCCGTTCTCCAATTTTTGTTTCCTATTAGCACAGCTGTTGGACACCACGGTCCGAACACCACGCAAGCTGCACACCCACAGAGCAATATAAGACGCTTCTATTGGTCTACAAGGGGGTATACAAAAAAACCCCCTCTCCCAAACCCCCCCTTTAAACTTTCCACACAGAAAATCTCCCCAAATTCTAGTCACATACGGGGTACCCACCAAGTACCGCAACTCGCCCCGCCTCTGACGAGCGCCACACATGGGGTAAAACTCTTTGAACTTTTAAATAGCCCACCTGAGAGCCCACATAGCCATCTGAGAGGCCGCATAGCCCACCTGAGACCCCACACAGCCATCTGGGAGCCCACATAGACCACCTGAGACCCCACACAGCTATCTGAGAGCCCACACAGCCCACCCGAGAGTCTGCACAACCCACCAGCTGGAGAGTCATAAGGTGAGTGTCCCAAGGCCATCTCATGTGCTGCCGCGTCTAGCTTGGAAGTAGGCCCGCTCGGCGTTGAGGCATGAAAAAATGTCTGCAGCTTTTGTGTTTTCAGGTGTGGATGAACTTCTCGTGTTTTTTATGGCTATACTGCGGGCCGGATTTCCCACAAGGCCACCAAGGCCCAGGCCTCAGGGCAGCAGGGAGTAGAGGGGAAGGGCAGCAAAGGTGTGGAATTCCTATCACCCGGCGCCCAGGACATGTAGTTCCATGCGCCGGGTGGGTAGTTTTATCTACATTTAGTCCGGCTTCGTGCAAGCTGCAGATCATTTTGCACAAGTGATTTCGGTGATGCCTTTTTGTCCGTCCTCCAGTGCAACCCACCCTCCACGGTCCGCCCCCATCGCTGGCAGCTTCCCTCCCTGCCGTGGTTTTCGGTGTCCCCAGCAAGGTAGTTCAGGATGGAGGAGGGGGGGTAGAGCAGAGAACGTCCGTTCAATAAAGAGAACCTGTCACTCCCAAATGCTATCACACGGTGCTTGTTAGCTCCTGGTGGCAGATATATTATTATAGCTCCTGGTGGCAGCCATATTATTGTAGTTCCTGGTGGCAGCCATATTGTTGTAGCTCCTGGTGGCAGACATATTGTTGTAGCTCACATATGAAGACATGTTGGCATACAACTAAATGAAAAGGGTCACATATGTCACAATTTCATCCTGCTCTCAGCTGACGGCAATGTTTGGTGGGTTTTAATAAACAACCTCAGGTCTGAGCATTATTTTATGCTGAGCAGTGTGTTCCTCCAGGTCTGATGGGTTACAACAAAATGGCTCCTCGAATAGCCTGCCTTTTACCCATGATGCTGGAGGATGGGCACTATGGTTGCAGGAAGTGAATGGAACAGAATGCGAGCAATGGAGCCGAACTGCAACAACCTGCCGGAGAGAATATTACGGCTCACCCTGGAGATCATCTACTTGCTGACCGGAGAGGTGAGGAGGATTCTGGGACTACGCCTGCCAAGTGTGTTCCATTTTATGGCTGGCACCCGCCTGAAAGTAATTACTTTCCTCCAATTTTATTTCAGCAACAAATCACCGGGAAGTTGCCATCAGACACATTTTTATTATTTTTATTTGTAACTGCGGAAAAATAACCGACACATTTTATAAAACTTTATTTTCGGGAAGCGGGCTAAATGTAAAGCAGAGGAGCCGTTTTGTACGAGTGATTTCAGCGGCTAATCAGCCGCTGAAATCACTTGCTTGTCTGGCCCCCCTCCATGGTCCCCCACCCCGCTGGCTGCCTTCCGTGCCGTGGTTTTCGGGGTACCCTGCTCTTCTGGGGGACCCCCAGCCCACAGCAAGGCATTTGACTGAAAACAACTAAAAGGCTTATTTAGAAAAATTTGAAGTATCATTACCTCTAAAAGAATTATGCCATCGATCATATCATAGCAAAGAGGGATGATGATGATGGCAGCAGGATGGACCTTCTTGTATTGGGAAATGTATAGAGTGATGGCTGATCTCTCCTCACAGGATGACATAGTTGTGAAAAAGACATCGGGAGATGGAGAGAACTCCATTATGGTTCCTCTACTATCCCTTCTGATTCCAGAAAGAAACAATGAACAGAAGATTCTAGAAGTCACCCAGAAGATCATCGAGCTGCTGACAGGAGAGGTGAGCGGTGCCGGGAATTCTGGGACATGATCCAGGAACAGACAAGGGATGTGTCTGGGTGGTGACTGTATCATTGTGTGTGTCAGGTTCCTATAAGGTGTCAGGATGTCTCCATGGAAGAACAAGGACATTTTAACTACATTGTTCTATATTTTTATTCAGAGTGGAAATTGGAGCAATTTTAATGTTCGTATCAAAGAAGAGATAAGAGAAGAAAAGGAAGAGTATAGTGCGATGAAGGAGCCGGAGTGTGTAGCAGGACACAAGAATCTCTACAAGGACGTCATGATGGAGGATCAGCAGACCATCGCACCACTGGGTAAGAGGAGAGAGCAGTACGGAGGGTCCCACTAGATCCCCCATCATCTGATACACACATAGAGACAATGTATTCAGTCAGTGTGTGTGTTTCCTACAGATGGATCCAGTAAGAGGAACCCACCAGAGGGATGTACCCGTCCTCTGTATTCCCGGCATTCCACACAGGAACATTATAAGATCCCTCACCATGATCAGGTAGATGGGACTCGGGATGTTGAACTCTCTAAACTGTATTAGATTATATTCTTGGTGGTCTCGGGATAATAGAGCTCACAATCATTGTGTGATTTTAGGGGGAAGAAGTGTTTGATATCAAAACTGAGATCAAGGCAGAAGAAGAGACACATGGGAGGGGAAATCAGCTGTCTATGAAGGAAGCTGAAATGATGGTGACATTTACCATGGATGAATCTTCTCTAGATGCCAGCACAGGCAAGTATTATATACAAAGAATGCAGCACCTCACATTTTTTATTTTACATTCATTCTTTACATTTACTCACATTTCATTTTCATCAACTTCTAGAATGCCGTTTGACCCAAAATATAACGTCATGTCCCCAACAAATGAGGAGGAGATACTGTACACCATATGAAGGTCCATCTCCATTCCTCAATATAACGTCATGTGACCAACAAATGAGGAGGAGATACTGTACAGTGTACACCATATGAAGGTCCATCTCCATTCCTCAATATAACGTCATGTGACCAACAAATGAGGAGGAGATACTGTACACCATATGAAGGTCCATCTCCATTCCTCAATATAACGTCATGTGACCAACAAATGAGGAGGAGATACTGTACACCATATGAAGGTCCATCTCCATTCCTCAATATAACGTCATGTGACCAACAAATGAGGAGGAGATACTGTACACCATATGAAGGTCCATCTCCATTCCTCAATATAACGTCATGTGACCAACAAATGAGGAGGAGATACTGTACACCATATGAAGGTCCATCTCCATTCCTCAATATAACGTCATGTGACCAACACATGAGGAGGAGATACTGTACACCATATGAAGGTCCATCTCCATTCCTCAATATAACGTCATGTGACCAACAAATGAGGAGGAGGAAGGTCCATCCCTGTTCCTCACCATATCAATTTCAATAGTGTATGTACACCTCCAACCAGTGCGTTATAGTTGCTTTGATTGCATTGTACACCTTATCTGACTTCTATCTTTGTACTGTTGTTATCATACCTAGTTCCGTGCCAGAGATCTGGGGAACAGTTGACTAGACCAACATTCTTGATTCCTAACTGCAAAACATGAACAATGAACATGCTATTACTATTATTATAACGTTATTATATATTTTCAACAGGACACAATGGCTGGATTACCTCAGAGGGACGTCTTTTTTCATCAGCCAATTATAATAAAGAAGATGATGGCATGGCACAATGTTCTCCACGATTAAGCATTGCCACTCACAATATACATCACAAACTCAATCACATGGCAAGATCAACAGATCCATTTAGTTTTGACGAGCCTAAGGATAAATCACGTACTGTTATCCCAAATGTCCAACAAAGCTTTCACAGTGCAGATCAATCTCCAGATGTTTCTAATCCTGAGGGACCCTCTTCCAATAATTTGCATCCTCTTCTGGATTCTGAAAGATCATTCATAAAAAAAGAAGACCTAGTTGAACCCCCAAGAACCCTCCCCGGTGAAAACCCCTTTTCTTGTTCCCAGTGCAAGAAGTCCTTCACAAAGAAATCACATCTGGTTGAACACCAAAGGATCCACACCAGTGAAAAACCCTTTTCGTGTCCCGACTGTAAAAGGTCCTTCATAAAGAAATCACATCTGGTTGAACATCAGAGAATCCACACCAGTGAGAAACCCTTTCCGTGTCCAGAGTGCGGGAAGTCCTTCAAAAAGAAATCCAATCTCGTTGAACACCAGAGAATTCACGCCAATGAAAAACCCTACTCGTGTTCAGAGTGCGAGAAGTCCTTCGTGAAGAAATCTAATCTTGTTGTACACCAGAAAATTCACACCAGTGAAAAAAGCTTTTCATGTTCTGAGTGTGAGAGGACCTTCATGAAGAAATCGGTGCTCATTCAACACCAACAGAGAGTCCACACCAGTGAAAATCCCTTTTTGTGTTCAGAATGTAAGAGGATCTTCATGAACAAGTCAAAACTCATTCAACACCTTCGAATCCACACGGGGGAAAAGCCCTACTTGTGTACCGAGTGCGGAAAGTCTTTCAGCCTGAAATCGATACTCAAAACGCACCAGAGAGTTCACACCGGGGAGAAGCCCTTTTCCTGTTCAGAGTGTGGGAAGTGCTTCTCCAATAAAGGGAACTGTGATAAGCACATGAGAATTCACACCGGGGAGAAGCCGTTTTCCTGTCCAGAATGCAGCAAATGTTTTGCGCAGAAGGTGACGCTAGTTATCCACCAGAGGATACACACCACGGTCAAGAAGCCCTTTTCCTGTTCTGAGTGTGGAAAATGCTTCTCAGAAAAAGGGAACTGTGATAAGCACATGAGGACTCACAATGGCGAGAAGCCGTTTTCCTGTCCGGAATGCGGCAAATGTTTTGCACAGAAGGTGACACTAATTATCCACCAGAAAACGCACAGCACCGGAGACCACTGAAAAACTGATGGTGGACTTTTATGGGTCGAATCGTTATGTTCGTAGAACAATGGCAAAATAAAGATTAGGCCGTCTGAAAGAGTCAACCAACCCATATGTAATATGTTTTCTTGTTTGTGGTTGGATCTCTACAGTTCTTAATTGTACATTACGGGAGACAGGATGAGTATTCAGGTACATCCAGGGCCGGGTTTCCCACAAGGCCAACCAATGCCTGGCCTTGGGGCAGCAGGGAGTAGAGGGGCATCAGGGGTGTGGAATTCCTATCTCCCGATGCCTGGGACCTGCAGTTCCGGCCTCCAGGCGGGTAGTTGTTTTCTACATTAGCCTCTCTTTCCTAAAGCAGGGCTAAAATGTACAGCGGGGGAAGTCGCCGCTTGTTTTGTACTCCATTGAGGAACCTGGCATTGGGGCAGCAGAGAGAGTAAATCCAGCCCTGGGTACATCAGGTTTTTCAGATGATTGGACACGGGCAATAAAAAGCTCTAAGTATAGCCCAGTATAACCCCTCCAACTCTGGTCCTACACAAGGACACAATTGTATTGAGGCAGAGTCCTTCCTTTCTAAGGTAGTTAGGGCCTTTCACTTCAACCAGGACATCCATACTTCTTTTTCACCCCTCTGTGTCTATCATCAAGCTGTTGGTGCTGTATCACGTAAATGATTGGAGACTCAGCTGAGAAGGGGGCCGCTCGTGTACCTCTTGTCCCACACCTCTGGAAGTAGTGATTGGGGATGTAAGGACAGAGCGGAGCACAGGTACTGATACTGTTGGCTGGCCGGTTCTTGAAGAGGCGCTTGAGTGCGTTGGACCAGCTGGTGAATCGGCAGGACCGAGATGACACCGGGACCTGTTGAAACCAGAGCAGGCAACGGGTATGAGGCCAAGGAAGCACTGGCGGGATGCCGTTGCTCAGGGCACTGATGGAGGATTGTCGTGCTCAGGATGCTGATGGAGCGATCCACCAAGTGGCAGACCAGGAGGGAAGTCATACTGTATACAGGGAACCGAATCTTGAGGTGCCGAATCACCGATCGGGAGCAGGGTCAGGAAACGTAAGCCAGGGTCATACAGAGGAGATCAGAGGTACCGAATCAGGAGGAAGCGGAGTCAATTGGTCACAAGCCGGGTTCATACACAGGACGTCAGGATACAAGAACAGAGTACAGGGCACACAGGGACAAGCTGAAGACCACTCGGCAACTTGACCATGGCTTCACGTTTGTTTAAATAGGATAGTGTGCACGCTAATGAGCGTGCACCTGTACGCTAACGAGCATGTTTCTGCACGCTCACGTACGTGCGCTATTGTGCATAAATGTTCCCATACGCACGCGTTCACGTGCTAAAGCGCGCTTTCCAGCAGCAGGCGGCTCAGGGATGACAGGTAAGAGGAGCTGCATGTGCAGGGAAAGGGACCCCAACCAGCCCACCTGAGACCCTGCAGAGCACACCAACCATAGTGAGTCTCAGGTGGGCTGTGCAGGGTTTCGGCTGGGCTATGCAGGGTCTCTGGTATGTTTAGAGTCTCAAAGGGGCTCTGAAGGGTCTATGGTGGGCTGTGCAGGATCTATGGTGTACTGTGTGGGGTGTCAGGTGGGCTCTGCGGGGTCTCAGGTGGGGTCACTGTCAGGTGGGCTGTGCGGGGTCTCTGGTATGTGCGGGGTCTCTGGTGGGCTGTGCGGGGTCTCTAATATGTTCAGGGTCTCAGGTGGGCTGTGCGAGGTCTATGGTGGGTTCTGCAAGGTCATTCTCTGGTGGGCTGTGTGGTGTCTATGGTGGGCTCTGCGGGGTCTCAGGTGGGCTCTGCAGGGTCACTGTCAGGTTGGCTGTACGGAGTCTCAGGTGGGCTGTGCGGGGTCTCTGGTATGTGCGGGGTCTCAGGTGGACTGTGCGAGGTCTACGGCGGGTTCTGCAAGGTCACTCTCTGGTGGGCTGTGTGGTGTCTATGGTAGGCTCTGCAGCAGTGAGTGGCTGAGTGATCTTTTCTTTCGGCAGAGAAGAGCTGAAGAGAAGGAGACGGTGCAGGCACGGAACATGTTCTGGAGGTAGATACTTTTTTTTGGGGGGGGGGGCCTCATACAAAATTTTGCTATGGGGCCCTGTGATTTCTAGTTACGCCTCTGAATAGAGCTCTACAGTCTCTGAATTCAGGTCGTCCCTCAATGAACTCCAAGAAATTGATTTTACGGTACACAGATAAATCCCATTATTTAGTAGAGCGTCGAAGAGATTGATCTGCTTTTTTTGGCCGTACGTGCCCCCACTTGAGAGACTTCCTGTTTCGATGATACTGGGATAAGAAATCGGGGAAATGTCCTCAACAGGGATACACATAACAATATCACCGATCTAGGAGAAAGCCTTGGACATGAAAGTAGCTAAATTTTACCAAAATTGGGTCACTAATAAAAGGAAAATGAGGGCCCGAGTATTAAATGGCTCCAGTTTCCAAAATACAGCTTCAGGTCAAAATAATTAATAATTACGAGGGAGGGGGATGGGCAATTACGCTCCAAAACTTTTCTGCAAAATGTGATATAGCGATGAGAACGGTGCCGCACCCATCATTATAAATGTATCTTTTTATGGATACCAATAACATAACTTTTCATAAATAAATACAATAACATCAAAAAAATCCCTCCTGAGATGCTTGCAAACCTGGCAACCGACCACAAGAAACGTCTCACCTCTGTGCTTGCCAGCTAGGGTTCCCCCACCGAGTACTAAGTCATGTTCTGCTCGGGGATCAAAAACTAATTTTACTCCCTGAACTGCAACTCAATTTATAACATTTGTGTCATGTGACTTCTCTGGATTATTGGTTGATATTCTGTCTCTATCATTTATAAAACACCTATAAGAAAAATTTATAGACCTTTCATTTCTTTGTAATCTGCAGGGGAGCAAATCATTATTTTCCTCACGGTAGAAGTTATGATAGTTCGGCCGGCTTTGTTGCCTAGCAACTGAAGTGCTTCTCCCACTTCCGCCCCGTTGCGCCTTCACTTCCGCTATGTGAGCTTCACAACCTCTCAGCCGCCTCCTTGTTGCCATACTTACGCCCTGGCCAAGAGAACCTTTGCCGTGCATTCCATTGTGCGCCACTGGAGGGAGACTGTGTGCCAGCAGAAAGTGCGGCGGCCATTTTGTTGTAGACCAAAAGAGGAGGCGGGGCAAATTTTAGCTCAGGGATCCTCCTGGAGGGGGGTGAGAGGCTGCAGAGTGTGTGCTGAGCGAGGAAGGGGTAATATTGTCTTTTTATTATGGGAGAAGGGAATGCCAGCACTGTCTGTGGACTGGATTTGGAGGGGAATCACTCTTAAACTCTATGTAAGTGCTGTATATTACCTCCTGCTCTCTGCTCTCTCCTTCTGCCCACATGCTAAATTCCAATCGAATTACATTTATATTTATTTCCTTTATTCACACTTAAATACATATACTTACCTAGTGTCTTGATTTCTACGAGTTAGCTCCTCTTTCGTAGTTAAGACACCAACCCAACCATGACTGAAGACATGTCCTGAGGGTTGCAGATGATACATGTATAACAGTTTTATGTTTATATACAAAATATTGGTGGACTATCCCCTTCCCCCGGTCATGTGTATATACATGGCACCACGGAGGTCGGCCTTATGTCGTGCTATCACATACACTATATTGCCAAACGTATTGGGACACCCCTCCAAATAATTGGATTCAGGAGTTCTATTCATCTCCATGGCCTCGGCATGCAGAGGCTTCTACAAACATTTGTGAAAGAATGGGTCGCTCTTTTTTGGACAATTTCATGCCCCCAACTTTGTGGGAGGAGTTTGGGGATGGCCCCTTCCTGTTCCAACATGACTGCGCACCAGTGCACAAAGCAAGGTCCATAAAGACATGGATGGGGGAGTTTGGGGTGGAGGAACTTGACTGGCCTGCACAGAGTCCTGACCTCAACCCCATAGAACACCTTTGGGATGAATTCGAGCGGAGACTGCGAGCCCGGCCTTCTCCACCAACATCAGTACCTGACCTCACAAATGGTCCAACATTCCCATAGACACACTCCTACACCTTGTGGACGCCTTCCCAGAAGAGGCGGAGCTGTTATAGCGGCAAAGGGCGGAGCCAACCTAATATTGAACCCTACGGACTAAGACTGGGATGCCATTAAAGTTCATGTGCGTGTAAAGGCGTCCCAATACTTTTGGCAATATAGTGTATATATATATATATTCCTAACAAAATTTAATTTTGAACGTTAGCAGCTGTTTATTTATGTTCTCTAATTCCATAATTTTCACCTCTACTTAGATCACTTGACGGGTAATGGAGAAGGCGTGGAGTCAAATAGCAGAGAGGATATTAAACCTCACCCTGGAGATCATCTACCTTCTGACCGGAGAGGTGAGAAGGAGGGGGGTCACATGACATCACTTTTATCTCTATAAAATACAGAGTAGAGGGATGATGATGGCAGCAGGCTGGGACTTCTCTTGTTGGGAAATGTATAGAGTGATGGCTGATCTCTCCTCACAGGATGACGTAGTTGTCAAAAAGACATTGGGAGATGGACAGAACCCCATTATGGTTCCTCTACGTTCCTTACTGGTTCCAGAAAGAAACAATGAACAGAAGATTCTAGAAGTCACCAAGAAGATCATAGAGCTGCTGACGGGAGAGGTGAGCGGTGCCGGGAATTCTGGGACATGATCCAGGAACAGACAAGGGATGTGTCTGGATGGTGACTGTATCATTGTGTGTGTCAGGTTCCTAGAAGGCGTCAGGATGTCTCCATGGAGGAGGTATTTCTAACGCTTTGTTTTACATTTACAATCAGAGTGGAAACTGGAGCTACTTAAATGTTCGTATCAAAGAAGAGATAAAAGAAGAAGAGGAGGAGTATAGTGTGATGGAGGAGTGGAGGTGTTTAGAAGAACACAAGGATCTCTACAAGGACGTCATGATGGAGGATGAGCTGCCCCTCACATCACCGGGTAAGAGGAGAGAGCAGTACGGAGGGTCCACCTAGATCCCCCATCATCTGATACACACATAGAAACAATGTATTCAGTCAGTGTGTGTGTTTCCTACAGATGGATCCAGTAAGAGGAACCATGAGATCCCTCAGGCCTGTCCTCTGTATTCCCGGGATTCCACACAGGAACATCATGAGATCCCTCAGGCCTGTCCTCTGTATTCCCGGGATTACACACCAGAAGATCGCACCATCCCTCACTATGATAAGGTAGATGGAGATGAAGATGTCAGATAATATTCTTCTATGTGGTCTCGGGATAATAGAGCTGACAATCATTGTGTGATTTTAGAGGGAAGAAGTGTTTAATATCAAAACTGAGGTTAAAGCGGAAGAAGAGACGCATGTGAGGGGAAATGTGGAGATTTTGTTTTTTTTTTTTTTTTTTTTTCATGTCCATTGAGAAACAGGAATTCTGATACAGTTGGGTTGGGTAATGCTATGTTATTGCAGGTATGCTGGGTAGGGGAAGATTTATGAGGAGGAGATACTGTACACCATATGAAAGGTCCATCTCCATTCCTCAATATAACGTCATGTGACCAACAAATGAGGAGGAGATACTGTACACCATATGAAGGTCCATCTCCATTCCTCAATATAAGGCCATGTCCCCAACAAATGAGGAGGAGATACTGTACACCATATGAAGGTCCATCTCCATTCCTCAATATAACGTCATGTGACCAACAAATGAGGAGGAGATACTGTACACCATATGAAGGTCCATCTCCATTCCTCAATATAACGTCATGTGACCAACAAATGAGGAGGACATACTGTACACCATATGATGGTCCATCTCCATTTGGTGTACCTAATTCCGTGCCAGAGATTTGGGGAACAGTTGACTACTAGACCAACATACATGACTCCTAACGGCAAAACATGAACATGCTATTATTTAATAATAACAAACATATCTCCAACAGGAGGACACAAAGGCTGGAATGACCCAGAAGGACGTCTTCTTTTATCTACAGATTATAATAAGGACGATGATGACATGGCACAGTATTTTCCAGAAGCAAGCACTGTTACTCACAATGTACATCACAAAGTGAATCCTACGGTGAAGTCAACCGATCAACAAATCGGTTTAATTATTTGGCATCCAACAATCAATCACATGCCTTTGACCCAAATGTCCAACCAAGCATTCCTTGTGCGGCTAAGTCCTTCTAATCCAGAGGAATCTCCTCTCGGTGATTCACGTCCTTTCCAGGATTGTGAAAAATGTTTGGGAAAAAAACATGTCGCGGTTGACCACAAGAGAGCTCCTACGTGGGAAAAAACCTTTTCCTGCACCGAGTGTAAAAAGTCCTTCATGAACAAAACTGATCTCGTTAGACACCAGAGAGTCCACTCTGGGGAGAAGCCCTTTTCCTGTTCCGAATGTGGAAAGTGCTTTTCTGATAAAGGAAACCGCGACAAGCACATGAGGATTCACACCGGGGAAAAGCCGTTTTCCTGTCCGGAATGCGGCAAATGTTTTGCGCAGAAGGTGACGCTGACTATCCACCAGAAAATACACGCCAGGCGACTTCTCTACCGAGAATACACACCACCGAAGCCCACGTAGAAACTCATGGTGGAGCTTTACAGGTTGAATCACCGCGTCCGTAGAACAATCGGACCATAAAGATGATGCATTCTGAAAGGATCAGCCAACCCATATGGAATACAGTGGTACCTCGCTTCACCAGGGCTTCCGTCCGCCAACAATTCGGTTCGTGGAAGTTTGTCCAAATTTTGCTTCCGTTGTGAGGGCACAGAGCAGTACGGTAATGGGTCTACCGAGGACGCGAGATACCGGCGGCTGAAGACATGGGAGGCAGACTAGGTGTTAATGCCATAAGGTCGTGCCCACCCTCTTTTCTTTTTCTCTCCCCTTCCTTATCCTCTTTTTCCTCCTTCCCCTCCTTCCCCCTTCGGCATTTATTCTCTTCTACCTCCCCCTCTCCCGCTACTATTCCCTATCTGTCTATTTTCACTTCATTTTCTCTTGCTATTCTGACTCCGATTGTTGTGCTAGTGACTTATCCCTTGCTGGGACCTCTCTGCCTGGCCTGTATAAGCAGATTCAATCACTGAGGACTATCCTTATCAGATAGCTGAACTCACCAAATACCTTTTCCATCCACAAAGTTGCTTTATTCTGAACATCAGGTTAGAGCAGATGAATGGATTGCGGTATTTAAGCGGTCAAAAGATGATACTGTCTGTAGCATGCAATGCAGATTACATGTGCCCCTGTTACATGCGGATATACATGTGGCCTGTTAGCTGCAGCCATGACACAGGAAATGCTACTGAGGAAGAAGGGTGGAGCATTACACACAAGGGGAAATGCATCATAGATGTGAGGGGAGGGAACACAGAAAAACATGTGCATTACCAAAAAAAGACCACTAGATGGCAGCACATGAACTAACCAAAGAATATCCATAGGAAAATGGTCTAAGTAAACAAACTATATAAATTCTAATATCACACTAACGTGAATGATAACTGCGGCTGTAAATACAACTATTGAGGCGGCACACTTGCTCCCAGTTATCTTGTTTGAGTATATATATATTATATAGGTACATATATCAGTTATTCTGTGATAGCCTTCACTGGTGGATCTAAATTAACGCTGCTTGCTCCTAACAACTATTGGAAGGGTGGGCCTTATTGGGTAAGACCCATGCACGTGGCGGTATGGGCCGGAGCTAAGCTGTAGTGTGACTCCTAGTTTCCAGGAGAGATGAGACCAGTCATAACCACCATCAGGGCGCTATGACTGCACCATGATTGCAACGAAGATGTATTATAGTTGTGTAACTGATGGTGTGGCCTCATATGTTTTGTTCTTTTTGTTCCTTTCCTCATGGAAAATTGGTGGAATGCATAAATAAAGAATTTACAAAAACGTTTTGCTTCCGTTCGCGGACTCCGCATCGGGTGACGAACACAACCGCAGCCATCTTCCCGGCTCTGACACGTGGTCTCTGACACTCTAGTCGAGATCGCGGTCTGATCACAGTTTGATTCGGTTCGCGACCACAATCGTGGAACGAATTAAGTTTGTGAGCCGAGGTACCACTGTATTTCAGCTTTTATTCATTAATTGATATATTTGTATTTATTTATTTAATTCATTTAAACATATTTATAATTTATTGTTTATCTTCATGTTGTAATTTCCATTAAAACTCAAACTTTTGCCCTTGTCTGCTCCGGGGATTTTCATCTCTTCCCGTTGTGTCATGAAGACGAGAATTGAGGGGGGAAGCTCTCCAACCAGGACACGGGGCATCAATAAAATGTGATTATTTAGTACCGTAGAGAAGAGGTTGGGTCTGGCAGAGGTTCTCGCCTTCTCCATTCAATAAAAAAATGGGGAAAAAAAAGTTCTGGCTGGATTTCCACTTTGATTACCGAAGGTCTCATGGAACAATGGCGGGGTTTCAGATGTACTTCTTACGGTACGTAAAGATATGCATTCCGTGATGGCGATGGAAATAAAGTTCTCATTGGTCATATGCAATGTTACCGCTCATTATTGATGTTACCACCAGGACCGGATTTCCCACAAGGCCACCAGGGCCCGGCCTCGGGGCAGCAGGGAGTAGAGGGGCAGCAGCGGTGTGAAATTGCTATTGCCTGACACCCGGGACATGCAGTTTCGGGCACCGGATGGGTAGTTTTTTCTATATTTAGTACTGCTTCGTGCTGGTCTATGGGATGTATCCGGTCTATAAATGGCGGCTCTGGATGGACAGTTGGATAAATGGCTCTATATTTAGGATGTATCCGGTCTATAAATGGCAACGTTCGCTGTACATGGTCCTGCTGTGTGTAGGAACATAGCCACCCTCATCCTTTTGCCTCCTGACATGGACTGCTGTAATATGTGGTGATGCATCCAGTGCCGGTGATGTGTCAAAAGTACGAACTTATCGAGTTGTGGGACCGCATGACTTACGGTTTCCTCAGAACTACGAGGTTTGCACACAAACTATGTTGTGCACGAGCGCCATCCACGGCATTGCCCTATACACATAGACCACAGCAATAAAGTAATAAAATGATGTAGGATGACAGTAAGCCAGCACGTTCTTTATCTCAGGTGCCCCACTCAAGCGGCGGCCATATTGAGTGGGACACCGGAGATAACGAACGTGCTGGCTTACTGTCATCCTACATCATTTTATTAATTTATTGCTGTGGTCTATGTGTATAGGGCAATGCCGTAGATGGCGCTAGTGCACAACATGTTTTGTGTGCAAACATCGTAGTTCTGAGGAAACCGGAAGTAATGCGGTCCCACATCTCGATAAGTTCGCACTTTCGACACATCACTGGCATGTATTGTAGCTCCTGGTGGCAGCCATATTATTGTAGCTCCTGGTGGCAGCCATGTTATTGTAGCTCCTGGTGGCAGCCATGTTATTGTAGCTCCCGGTGGCAATTGTAGCTCCTGGTGGCAGCCATGTTATTGTAGCTCCTGGTGGCAGCCATGTTATTGTAGCTCCTGGTGGCAGCCATGTTATTGTAGCTCCCGGTGGCAGTCATGTTATTGTAGCTCCTGGTGGCAGCCATGTTATTGTAGCTCCTGGTGGCAGCCATAATGCTGTAGCTCCTTATGGCAGACATGTTATTGTAGCTCCTGGTGGCATCCATCTTATTGTAGCTCAAATATGAAGACATGTTGACATACAACTGAATGAACAGGTCACAAGCCTTAGCTTCATCCGTCTCTCCTGACGGCAATGTTTGGTGGGTCTCAATAGGCGACCTCAGGTTTAAGCAGAGCATTCCTCCAGGTCTGCTGGGCTACAACAAAATGGCCGAGAAGAACCAATCCTCGAAGAGCCTGCCTCTTACCCATGATGCTGACCATTGGAGGGGGGGATGGGCACTATTGTTGCAGGAAGTGAATGGAACAGAGTGCGAGCAATGGAGCCGAACTGTAACAACCTGACGGAGAGGTTATTACATCTCACCTTGGAGATCATCTACCTGCTGACCGGAGAGGTGAGGAGGATTTTGGGAGCGCGCCCGACAAATTTCTTCTATTTTTTAAAATGTATTAATACTTCCCTGAAAAATTTCCTACAGTTTTATTTGAGCAACAAATCACCGGGAAGTTGGTATCGGATACATGTTTTTTGGTTGCTATTTTTATTTGTAACATTTCTTATCTGACAAAAAAGTAACAATATTTGTACAAAGGATGAAATCTAAAAACTGAAAGTGACAAGATGAAATTTTACAGAATGTAAGTTGCTGACGGCGCGCCGAGTACAAACATTTTTTTTATTTTAAACAATTTTTACTTTTTTTTATTTTTATGCATTTTTTTTTTTTCTAAAAGCTGCTCATTTTACACAATTATCTGCCGCCAAAATTTGTTACAAATTGAAACACTTTACATGGCCTTTTATTGGAAGAAAAAGTTTCCATTTGTTTAAAAAAAAATACCATCCAGGCTGCATTATGCTTAGGAGTCTATCTATTTGTTTATATATAATATATAGTTATATATACATACACTATATTACCAAAAGTATTGGCACACCCCTCCAAATCATGTGATTCGGGCCCTCCAATCCCCTCCATGGCCACAGGTGTATAGGATGAGGCACCTCGGCATGCAGAGGCTTCTACAGACATTGGATGAAAGAACGGGTCGCTCTCAGCTCAGTGACTACATGCTGAAGCGCACAGTGCGCAGAAGTCGCCAACTGTCTGCAGAGCCAATAGCTACAGACCTCCAAACTTCATGTGGCCTTCAGATTGGCACAACAACAGTGCGTAGAGAGCTTCATGGAATGGGTTTTCATGGCCGAGCAGCTGCATCCAAGCCTCACATCACCAAGTGCAATGCAAAGCGTGGGATGCCGTGGTGTAAAGCGCGCCACCACTGGACTCTAGAGAAGTGGAGACGTGTTCTCTGGAGTGACCAATCACGCTTCTCTGTCTGCCAATCCGATGGGCGTGTCTGGGTTTGCCGGTTGCCAGGAGAACGGTACTTGCCTGACTGCATTGTGCCAAGTGTAAAGTTTGGTGGGGGGGTGTTTTTCGGGGGTTGGGCTCGGCCTCTCAGTTCCAGTGAAGGGAACTCTTAAGGTATCAGCATACCAAGACATTTTGAATAACTTTGTGGAAACAGTTTGGGGACGGCCCCTTCCTGTTCCAACATGACTGCGCACCAGTGCACAAAGCAAGGTCCATAAAGACATGGATGGGGGAGTTTGGGGTGGAGGAACTTGACTGGCCTGCACAGAGCCCTGACCTCAACCCCATAGAACACCTTTGGGATGAATTAGAGCGGAGACTGCGAGCCCCTCCCCCAACATCAGTACCTGACCTCACAAATGGTCCAACATTCCCATAGACACACTCCTAAACCTTGTGGACGCCTTCCCAGAAGAGTTGAAGTTGTTATAGCGGCAAAGGGCGGAGCCAACCCAATACTGAACCCTACGGACTAAGACTGGGATGCCATTAGAGTTCATGTGCGTGTAAAGGCGTCCCAATACTTTTGGTAATACAGTGTATGTATAATCGTACACAAATAAAGGAGAGACTACCGCATTGGGACTTTTAAGATATCCTAAGATATATACAGTTGGATGTCCTGCACTGTGACTGAGTAGTAACTGATACCATGTATCTGTAAACAGCTCAAGGGGTTTTTTTGCAAATAGAATGAATATCAGTGCCTCCTAAAAAAGCTGAGAAGCTGTTGATTAGTTCAAAGTAAAGAGGGATGATGATGATGGCGGCAAACTACAACTTCATGTATTGGGAAATGTATAGAGTGATGGCTGATCTCTCTCCACAGGATGACATAGTTGTGAAAAAGACATCGGGAGATGTACAGAATCCCATTATGCTTCCTCTACGTTCCCTACTGATCCCAGAAAGAAACAATGAAGTGAAGATTCTAGAAGTCACCAAGAACATCATCGAGCTGCTGACGGGAGAGGTGAGCGGTGCCGGGAATTCTGGGACATGATCCAGGAACAGACAAGGGATGTGTCTGGGTGGTGACTGTGTGTGTCAGGTTCCTATAAGGTGTCAGGATGTCCCCATGAAAGAAGCATTTTTACTGTTTTGTTTTAAATTTATATTTAGAGCTATTTTAATGTTCGCATCAAAGAAGAGGTTAAAGAAGGAGAGGAGGAGGATGGTGTGATCAAGGAGCGGGAGTATTTAGAAACAGGCAAGGATCTCTACAAGGACGTCGTGATGGAGAATGAGCCGCCCCTCACATCACCGGGTAAGAGGAGAGAGCAGTACGGAGGGTCCACCTAGATCCCCCATCATCTGATACACACATAGAAACAATGTATTCAGTCAGTGTGTGTGTTTCCTACAGATGGATCCAGTAAGAGGAACCCACCAGAGAGATGTCCCCGTCCTCTGTATTCCCGGGATTCCACACAGGAAGATCTCACCATCCCTCACCAGGATCAGGTATAGTGGACTGAAGATATCAAACTTGACTCTATACTATATTATATGATGTTCTTCTACTGTGTATAGTCTTCGTATAATAGAGTTGACATGTTTTTTTTGTGACTTTAGAAGGAAGAAGCGATGGGTATAAAAATTGTAGTGAAAGAGGAAGAAGAGACGTACATGATAGGTGATCAACCGTCTATAAAAGATGAAATCATGGTGGCAATTACCAAGGAGGAATCTTCTGCAGATGTCGTCACAGGTATGTGTTGTATACAGCAAATACCGCAGTCAACCTTTTTATTGTACGTTCGTTCTTTCACATTTTGTTTTTTGTTAATCAGGTTTTGGTATTCAGAGTTACCGAATATTAGGAAAAATCAGCCAACCAACAAACACATTTTTGGACAGGGTGTGCTGTGCTATGAAAGAAAATATTGGCTTGTTATGACATGAGGGACAAATATCCAGTGTACCTATACCACATACCATGCTGTGGAGATACTGTACACCATATGAAGGTCCATCTCCATTCCTCAATATAACGTCATGTGACCAACAAATGAGGAGGAGATATTGTACACCATATGAAGGTCCATCTCCATTCCTCAATATAACGTCATGTGACCAACAAATGAGGAGGAGATACTGTACAGCATATGAAGGTCCATCTCCATTCCTCAATATAACGTCATGTCCCCAACAAATGAGAAGGAGATACTGTACACCATATGAAGGTCCATCTCCATTCCTCAATATAACGTCATGTCCCCAACAAATGAGGAGATACTGTACACCATATGAAGGTCCACCTCCATTCCTCAATATAACGTCATGTCCCCAACAAATGAGGAGGAGATACTGTACACCATATGAAAGGTCCATCTCCATTCCTCAATATAACATCTGGGGAATGTTGGCCAACTTATGTGATTTCTAAATGCAAAAACATTAACAATGAATATGTTGTTGTTCTTATTAATAATAAAATATCTCCAACAGGAGGACACAATGGCTGGAACACCCCGGAGGGACGTCTCCTTTTATCTGCACACTATAATGAAGATAATGCCATGGCACACAATCCTCCAGGAGTAAGCAATGTTACTCAAAATGTACATCACAAACTTAACCATACGGTAAGCTCAACAGATCGGCTTCATTTTGAGGATTGCGAAGACAAATCACATACTATCATCCCAAATTTCCATCCAAGCTTCCACAGTACATACAAACCGCCAGATCTTTCTAACCCTGAGGAATCTTCTCCCAATAATTTGCATCCTTTCCAGAATTGTGAAAAATCCTTCATCAGAAGACATGACCGGGTTGGCCACCAGAGGACCGACACCAGTGAGAAAATCTTTTCGTGTTTTGTGTGTGAGAAGTCCTTTCTTAGGAGATCAGAACTCATTCGACACGAGAGAATCCACACCGGGGAAAGGCCCTTCTCGTGTTCGGAGTGCGGAAAGTGTTTCACCAACAAGTCAGAACTCACAATACACCAGAGAGTGCACACCGGCGAGAAGCCCTTTTCCTGTTCCGAGTGTGGGAAGTGTTTCTCCAATAAAGGGAACCGTGACAAACACATGAGGATTCACACGGGGGAGAAGCCGTTTTCCTGCCCATATTGCGGCAAATGTTTTGCACAGAAGGTAACACTAATTATCCACCAGAGGACACACACCACGTGAGGCAGTCGAAGTGGAACAGCCAACCCATATGGAATATTTTAGGTTTTTTTACTGTGGCGTCATCTGTTTTTTTTCTTCACTACCTCGAAAAAGTCAATTTCTAACTTAGTGTATTTTTATCTTGTAGTTTTTTTTGTACTTAAAAGTTTTTGCCGGGTTCTGGGAAATATCCCCTTTTCCTGTTGTGTCACGCAGGCGAGGATTGAGGGGGAATCCCACCAACAAGGACACAGGCATCAATAAACCAATTTATTTAGTTGTGCGGAGAAGGTTTTGATCTGCTTTTTATGGCTGTGTGTGTCCCCGCTGGAGAGACTTCCTGTCCCGATGGAAGCTGTTAGACAGGAAGTCAGGGAAGTTTCCCCAACAGGGATACAGATTACTGTTCTCACCTTCTCCGTTCCGTCACAAATATTGATTTCCTGTCACGTACCTGAGTGGAGACCGATGGTTGAGGAGGCTTCGCTTGCAGCTGGTGTCCCTCGACCCCGAGGATGGGAACAGAGGAGGAGTGACAGCGAGCTGCACGAGTGCCAAGGATGTAGCAGACACTTGTGCCAGGTAGAAAGTCCAGAATCTGGAATGGAGGCAGGTCAGGCAGAGCCGAGGTCAAGCCGGGCGGGCAGCAGTGTGTTTGAAGCAGAAGAGGGGAGCGAGATCCAAACAGAAGCCAAGGGTCAAGCCAGGCGAGCAGAAAAGTACAAAACAGGAGGCAGAAGGAAGTCCAATGAACAGGCCGAGGTCAGGAGGCGGGGCAGCAATCAAGAATGGTCAGAGGCAATCCGGGTCTAACACAGGAAGTCAGTAAACAAGGCAGAAGCAAGGAACACGGGGGACTAGCTGAAGATCAGAAACTAAGGATATGGCAGGCTGCTTTATATAGGCCAGGGATGTCCAAAATGCGGCCCTCCAGCTGTGGTGGAACTACGAATCCCATGAGGCTTTGCAAGATTCTCACATCCACAGGCATGACTCCGGGAGAGAGATGCTTCATGGGATTTGTAGTTTCACCACAGCTGGAGGGCCGGAGTTTGGACATCCCTGACATAGGCCAATCCATTAGCAGCAGACGTGTCATTTCCTGTGCGCACGTTTTTGGGCAGAAGTTCGTTGTGCGCGCATGCGCAGAGGTGCTTGGTGCCTTACATTTCCAGCGGATGTCCACTTTTTTTTTATAACTGAACAACAATGGGGGTCTCAGGCTGTCCTTCCTTCTTATGTATAATGAAGATATGCATTGCGTGACGGCAATAAAAGTTCTCATTTGGTAAACCTTGGCGTGGACTCTTCATATGTACTGTTACCATTGGCCGGAATGACTTGTCCTTCATCGACAACCCTACGAGGGTGACCCATTGGAGGTTGGCCCTTGGAGAAGGTTATGGATCTGCTGAGCAAAAGCTGGACGCGCGAGTCCAAGGTTCTAGCCGGTTGGCCTGTGGGTTGTCAGAGGGTACTCACCATGGGGAAGTAGCAATGGACGATGAACTGAGGTCATGACAGAGAATCACACAATGGTCTCGGCCCTTCTTTATGTAGACATTCCAGAAATACATACAGGAAGGTGTACAATATACACATAAAGCCAATGCCTCTCGGTGTAGCTACTCTCGCGTTGCTAGAAGGCCTGTAGGGAGCATTTCCCGATTCCTGGATAAGACATAGGCAAGGGATGTACATGGGGATAGCTGGTAACACATAGAGCATCCTCTACAACAGTGGTTTTCAACCTGTGGGTCACAACGCACTGTTGAGGGGGTCACCACATGCTTTGTGCTGCGCTAGGTGACAGGCTCCTCAGCCACCTCCTAGAGCAGCAGTGTCAGCTCTCCGGCCGCGGCGCTAGATGGTGCTGCAGCACCGGCAGCCGAGGAGCATCAAAGAGAGGGGAACGGGCGGTAATGAGGGGAGTTGAATGCCGGCTTGACCACCAAGGAGCCCCACTGGCCACCACAGAGCCCACACTGGCCACCAGAGAGCCCCAGTGAGCACGAGAGAGCCCCATTGATCGCAAGAAAGCCCCATTGAGCTCACATGAGCCCACACTGGCCAACTGAGAGCACACACAGATACTAGTATTGGTGCATTCCTAAATTTTACCATCGGGGGTGACCACAACCTGGCAAATGTTACCAAGGGATCCCAGCCCTAGAAAGGTTGAGAACCACTGCTCTACAAGGATCGTCCGTTCTTTTATTAAGCCGGGACACTGTTGGCTCAATGGTGGGGACAGCCCACTTTACAAAATAGACTCCTCAAATGGGTATCGGATTGCAAAACGTTTTAGTAGTCTTCGGACCTCTCCGGGACCCTACACAGGTAGCAGCGTTGGTGGAAGCTACGTGCTGCTCCTCCATTTTTAAATTGGTGCATCAGTGAAAGCCGAAATGGTCTCCCTAAACCGAGCAGTTATGGTGGCTGCCAGCGCCTTCTCAGGGACAGCATCTTCAGGCGAGGATTTATGAGTGTTTTGGAGCCTCGGCTGCTAAGGGCTTAGAGACTGCCGAGGCTACAGGCAGGTCAGATAATGACTCTGCAGGTGAAGGTGCTGAGGTACATGAATGGCCTCCACCATCATCATTATCAGCATTTAAATTTGCAATATGGCCCATGAAATCCTGCAGAGAAGTCCTCCCTGGTTAAAAGTCGAGGAGGGAGCCACACTTGATGGATCTAATATAGACTCCAAGAAATATAAAGACTCACTCAGGCGATGACACATAGAATGTCTATTGTGGCGCACACGTATACAGAAGTCTTCTGGTGGTGATGTCATTGGAGCAGCAGAGGTTTGGAATACTAGGCAGCCCATTCTCTTCATTTCTGTAGGTAATCACTGAGGATAAGGTCCTGGTGGCAGCTATATTATTGTAGTTCCTGGTGGCAGCCATATTATTGTAGCTCCTGGTGGCAGACATATTATTGTAGTTCCTGGTGGCAGACATATTATTGTAGCTCCTGGTGGCAGCTATATTATTGTAGCTCCTGGTGGCAGCTATATTATTGTAGCTCCTGGTGGCAGCTATATTCCTGGTGGCAGCCATATTATTGTAGCTCTGGGTGGCAGACATATTATTGTAGTTCCTGGTGGCAGCTATATTATTGTAGCTCTGGGTGGCAGCTATATTATTGTAGCTCTGGGTGGGAGCCATATTATTGTAGCTCTTGGTGGCAGACATATTATTGTAGCTCTCGGTGGCAGCCATATTATTGTAGTTCCTGGTGGCAGACATATTATTGTAGCTCTGGGTGGGAGCCATATTATTGTAGTTCCTGGTGGCAGACATATTATTGTAGCTCTGGGTGGCAGACATATTATTGTAGTTCCTGGTGGCCGATATATTATTGTAGTTCCTGGTGGCAGTCATGTTATTGTAGCTCTGGGTGGCAGCCATATTATTGTAGTTCCCGGTGGCAGCCATATTGATGTAGCTGCTGGTGGCAGACATATTATTGTAGTTCCTGGTGGCAGACATATTATTGTAGCTCTGGGTGGCAGCCATATTATTGCAGATCGCATATGAAGACATGTTGACATACAACTAAATGAACAGGTCACATGCCTTAGAAATTCATCCTGGTCTCAGCTGATGGCAATGTTTGGTGGGCTTCAGTAGATTACCTCAGGTTTGAGCATTATTTCACACTGAATAGTGTGTTCCTCTAGATCTTACTTATGAAGTGCGAGCAATGGAGCCAAACGGCAACAGCCTGACGGAGAGGATATTACGGCTCACCCTGGAGATCATCTTCCTGCTGACTGGAGAGGTGAGGAGGATTCTGGGACAAATTTGTTTCATTTTTATGATTGATACACATCTGAAAATGGTCAACAGGTTACAAGACAAAGTTTTGCAGAATTTGTTACTGACGGCTTCCTTGCCGAACCACAGGTGGATATTATTTGTTCATTGCAGCTCTGCCCGCACTCGGCCTTGAAGGGGTGTCCTCCTAAGACTGATCAGGCTCAGCACCTCCTCATTGCACAGCGTTCCGGAGAGCCCCCAGCCTTACACAACACCCATGGTCTCACGTCTTTAAGTTCACAGTCAATGAGCCAGTCCATATAAGCTCCAGGCCATGCACACTGTTACACAGTTCTTAGTCTAAGGTCAGGACTTCTCCCGTGCATGCAAAGTTTCTCATGACCTTGCACCACCACATCATGAGGATTCCCGAACTCGGCCCCTTACAAGATCAGTACAAAGAGGGACCATACATGTTGGAAGTTGCAGTTGGATGTCCTGCACTGTGATTGATATTGTCCTAGCAGAGTAGTGACTGGAAACATCTCAAAGGCTTATAAGAAATATCATTACCTCTAAAAGAGAGATGTCATCAATCATATCACAGCAAAGAGGGATGATGATGGTAAAAAAATGTATTCAGTGATGGCTGATCTCTCTCCACAGGATGACATAGTTGTGAAAAAGACATCGGGAGATGGACAGGACTCCATTATGGTCCCTCTATGTTCCCTACTGATCCCAGAAAGAGACAACGAGCAGAAGATTCTAGAAGTCACCCAGAAGATCATCGACCTCCTGACAGGAGAGGTGAGCGGTGCCGGGAATTCTGGGACATGATCCAGGAACAGACAAGGGATGTGTCTGGATGGTGACTGTATCATTGTGTGTGTCAGGTTCCTATAAGGTGTCAGGATGTCTCCAGGCGTTTTCACTGTTTTGTTTTACCTTTACATTCAGAATGGAAACTGGAGCTACTTTAATGTTCAGATCAAACAAGAGATAAAAGAAGAAGAGGAGAAGGAGGAGGATGGTAAGTTGAAGGAGAAGGAGTGTGTAGAAGGACACCGGGATCTCTACAAGGACGTGGTGATGGAGAATGAGCCGCCCCTCACATCACCGGGTAAGAGGAGAGAGCAGTACGGAGGGTCCACCTAGATCCCCCATCATCTGATACACACATAGAAACAATGTATTCAGTCAGTGTGTGTGTTTCCTACAGATGGATCCAGTAAGAGGAACCCACCAGAGAGATGTCCCCGTCCTCTGTATTCCCGGGATTCCACACAGGAACATCTCACCGTCCCCCACCATGATCTGGTAGGTGGGACTGGAAATGTCTAACTTAAACTGTATTAGATTATATTCTTCTGTGTGGTCTCGGGATAATGGAGCTCACAATCATTGTGTGATTTTAGGGTGTAGAAGTGTTTGATATCAAAACTGAGGTTAAAGCGGAAGAAGAGACGCATGTGAGGGGAAATCAGCTGTCTGGGAAGGAAGCTGAAATCATGATGACAATTACCAAGGAGGAATCTTCTCTAGATGCCAATACAGGTAAGCACTTCACATTTTTATTTTAGGTCCATTCTGTCAGATTTCAGATTGTATTTATCGAGTTTATGTATGCAGATTGTCCAATAATGATAAAAATAGCTTGTTATGACATGATGGAAAAATATCCAGTGACTCATACCACATCCCATGCAATGGAGATACTGTACACCATATGAAGGTCCATCTCCATTCCTCAATATAATGTCATGTGACCAACAAATGAGGAGATACTGTACACCATATGAAGGTCCATCTCCATTCCTCAATATAACGTCATGTGACCAACAAATGAGAAGGAGATACTGTACACCATATGAAGGTCCATCTCCATTCCTCAATATAACATCATGTGACCAACAAATGAGGAGGAGATACTGTACACCATATGAAGGCCATCTCCATTCCTCAATATAACATCATGTCCCCAACACATGAGGGAGGAAGAAGGTCCTTCTCCATTCTTCGCCATGTCAATGTCATCAGTGTATGTACACCTCCACCAAATGTGCTTTAGTTTATTTGGTTATATTGTACACCTTATCAGACCGCTTACTTGCATTGTGGTGATTGCTGTACCTATTATCATGCCAGAGATCTGCAGAACAGTTGACTACTAGATCAACATACGTGCCTCCTAACTGGAAAACATGAAGAATGAACATACTTTTACTAATAACAAATATTTCCAACAGGAGGACACAATGGATGGAATACCTCAGAGGGACGTCTTATTCTATCTGCAGAATATGATAAAGAAGATGATGACACGGGACAATATTCTCCAAGAATAAGGATTATTGGTCAAAATATACACCACAAACATAATCGTATCGGAAGATCAACGGATCAGTTTAATTCTGATGAGTCCAAAGATAAATCACACACTATTATCCCAAATGTCCAACCAAGCTTTCACAGTGGAGATAAGTCACCAGATCTTTCTAATCTTGACGACTCTCATCCCAATAATTTGCATCCTTTTCAAGAACATATAAAAAACCATGACCTGGTTGTCCACCAGAGAATATCTACCGTTGAAAAACTCTTTCCGTGTTCTGTGTGTGAGAAGTCCTTCTTGAAGAGATCAAAACTCGTTCGACACCACAGAACCCACACTGGAGAAAAGCCCTTCTCGTGTCCTGAGTGCGGAAAGTGCTACACACAGAAATCGAAACTGATTCAACACCAGAGAAACCACACCGGGGAGAAGCCCTTCTCGTGTTCCGAGTGCGAGAAGTCCTTCGTCAATAAACCAAAACTCATTCAACACCAGAGGATCCACACCGGGGAAAAGCCCTTCTCGTGTTCCGAGTGCGGAAACTCTTTCAACCTACCAACACTACTCAAAACGCACCAGAGAGTTCACACCGGAGAGAAGCCCTTTTCCTGTTCCGAGTGTGGAAAATGCTTCTCCAATAAAGGGAACTGTGATAAGCATGTCAGAATTCACACCGGTGAGAAGCCATTTTCCTGTCCGGAATGCGGCAAATGCTTTGCACAGAAGGTGACGCTGACTATCCACCAGAGAATACACACCAGATGAGACCACTGAAAATCCTATGAAGCTTAACTCAAAACTTTTGATCTTGTCTGTGGAGCGCCCACCCCGAAGGAGCCGCTGAATGCCCGGTTCATCTGTCTAGGGGTATGTTCTTCAGCTGCCCACCCATTAGCACTAACCGCCCTTCTTCTGGTGTCCATAAACTGATGTCCACTCCAATAGTATAATGCTGAATAACCATTTATTGAACATCTTCACTGGGGAGAGAGGGTATGGGGATCCTAGACATCCAGGGTGTAACAGACTCCAGACTCACCAGACCCGGTTGGCATATCAGTGTAGATCCACTTGAGAGGCAGCAGATAGCAACTGAAATAGCAGATGAGCAAGGATGAGTATAGATCCTCAACAGGAAAGATACCGGCCATGCTCCCTAAGTCCTTAGGTTCCAGGAAACTTCATTGGTTCTGGGTCTCCTCCTCTAACAGCAACACAGGCCTCCTCCATGTTGGAGTGGGGGGGGGCAGGCTGAACAGCACCCAGCCCTAATCCGTGGTTTGCCCCGGCTAGTCTGAGCACATGGCAAATCCCTCCAGTATATGTACCCTATCCCAGCATGCACCACTGGCTGAGAGAAACCCAGTGATTGACTGCTGTACTGTACGTACACTACAGAGCCTCTCATTGGCTGTCCCACAATATGACAGAGTCACACTCCGCCCAGGGGGGTTACAGGCAATGCCAGACACCTGGAATTAACCAGATAATTGCCACTACAAATCCAGCCAGGCTGAGTACAGCCCTGGGTAACACTAAATGTCTAGTAGCCACATCACAGAAGGTGAAGGTGGCTACATCTGTTTTGGGGATTTTACATTTGTAAGGTCATGCAGACAGGGACTGAGGGAAAATCTCTGCAACAAGGACACCATCCTTGGCAGGCATCACTAAAACTGTTTAGTAGAGTGTGGAAAAGGTTGACCTCCTTTTTATGGCTATACATGACTCCATAGGAGATACAGTGGGGCAAAAAAGTATTTAGTCAGCCACCAATTGTGCAAGTTCTCCCACTTAAAAAGATGAGAGAGGCCTGTAATTGGCATCATAGGTAGACCTCAACTATGAGAGACAAAATGAGAAAACAAATCCAGACAAATCACATCGGCTGATTTGGAACCAATTTATTTGCAAATTATGGTGGAAAATAAGTATTTGGTCAATATCAAAAGGTCATCTCAATACTTTGTTATATATCCTTTGTTGGCAATGACAGAGGTCAAACGTGTCCTGTATGTCTTCACAAGGTTGGCACACACTGTTGCTGGTATGTTGGCCCATTCCTCCATGCAGATCTGTCATCAGTGGATTTCCTTTTTAATTACTGAAGTTCTTTGGGAACAGTGGTGGGGTCTCAAGCAGTCCTTTCTTTTTTTATGTTACAGAAACATTGTGATGGCAATAAAACAAAGTTCTCATTAGTAAACCATGGCGTGGACTCTCGTTTTGTTTCGTATGTAATGCCACAAGTACTCGTTCTTCATCAGCAACACGACAAGGGGGATCTGTAGAAGGTTAAGGGGCTCATTTAAGAAAGTTCTATACAGAGGGTCTGACAAGTATAGGACAGTCCCCCGGACGGAACTTTTATAAAATGAACCCCTTTGTGCTTTCTAAGTGAAGAAATGGAAAATTGATTATCTGCTCAACATTCTAGAGGGGGACATGAGAGGCCAGATATCTAATCTGATGGCCAGAGGGTAGGCCCCATGGGAAAATAACAGGCATCCAAACCTGAAAAAGTCATTTCAGGGAGGTGCCCTTCTCATTTCAGGGAGGTGCCCTTCTCATGTCATGGATGTGCCCTTCTCATTTCATGGATGTGCCCTTCTCATTTCAGGGAGGTGCCCTTCTCATTTCAGAGAGGCCCCCTTCTCATTTCAGAGAGGTGCCCTTCTCATTTCATGGAGTTGCCCTTCTCATTTCAGGGAGGTGCCCTTCTCATTTCAGGGAGGTGCCCTTCTCATTTCAGAGATGTGCCCTTCTCATTTCAGGGAGGTGCTCTTCTTACCCCACCCCACCATCCGTGGGGAGGGGGGGTTGATGGTAGAGAGGACACCTCCCTGAAATGATGGCAGATAGCAGAAGCTAATGCTTCCCTTGCTATCTGCTGTTTCTTTTTGTATTCTGACACCTACTGCCATCAGAATAATAAAAAAACAACAACAACGGACAGCAGGGGAATGAAAAGCTAGGCTGCTATTGGCTATTTCAATCTGCAATAGCTGATAGCAGGCTGGCTATTGCACCCGCCCGTCAAATCAGCAGAGGAGGACCTGATGGAAAACTTCCGCTCTACCTCTGCTGATTGACAGCAGCCAGTGGGCGGGTGCAATAGCCCAGCCTGCTATCGGCTAATGCAAATTGAAATAGCCAATAGCAGCCTAGCTATTCATTCCTATGCTGTTTTTCTTTTTTTACTGTGATGGCGGGTTGGCGGCCTCGATGTAAAAAGGCCCCGATGTGAAAAAAAAAAAAAAAACAGATAGCAGGGAAAGGTTTACAAACCTTTCCGGGATAAAATGTTTCTCTCGCGGGCGTATCTCATAGCGCGAGACTCCCGGGAACGTCCGGGAGAGTTGAGATGTCTGAAATAGCAGCAGGTGACGAAGGGAGGCCTCCACAGAGAGAGAGAGTCTTGGCCATTGTAATGGTTGCGGGAAGTTGGTCTGGTTTCCTTGGTTACGGGCCTTGTGCATGTTGCCAGGGTGCGTGGCGCACAGCATGCCGGCAGTTAAACTGTGACCTGGGAGAGTTGGCTGTGTGGAAGCAGAGTGCGGAGGATGGACTGCCATGCTACATGTAAGGACAACACTGTAAGAGATAACACTGCGGGTCCTGGTCTGGGTATACGGGATCCATCTGACCACTCATGGACATACTGGCAATCTGTGTTTTCCTGCCTGCACGGAACGAGCTCTTCTCCTCATACAAGAGAAGTAAATATGACTCTGCTCTGCATTAAAAGGACCAAAAACATGGGAAACCCTGCAGCCATTTTTTAAAAATTGTTTATTAAGACTCTCTAGGAATACATACGGGTAGCAGCGGTGTCACCATGGGGGTGCGGCCTGCACCCGGGTGACACCATTGGAGAGGCGACGCCAAAATGACTGACAATCATTTTGGTGTCAAAAGTCGGGCACTCGGTCATGGACCAAGAGCCCGACCGTTTTCAGGAGCAAGGAGGGGACCCGCCGGGTGAACGTCCCTTCCTCTCCCTGCCGGAGTCCATCACCAAGATGGCCGCGGGCAGGTATCAATGAGTGCTTATGCACGATGACGTCAAAGTGGGCTGTCACACGGTCCCCGCTCCGGGTGACACCCGGCCTCGGGACGCCCCCGACATGTAAGTCTGCCATCTACACAGAAAACAAATTACGTTGAGACTCTGGCCACCCAAAACTTGAATCGGATGAAATCTGAGCGGCCGGAGGCCCTGTCGGCAGCACCCGGTGCAACAAAAGTTACTGTTTACATTTTTTGGTCAAAGGAGCTGGTTGGACAGTTGTCGGCCATAAAGTGCCTGTATCCAATCAAAGGCAGGCACGGTTCAAGACAAGACTTCCTGGAGTTCTGATCTCCTGGGTCCCCTCGCAGCACTCACCAGTTGCTCCCCCTGACCTCCACTTCATTACTAAACTCAGTAGTGACTTGGAGGTCAGCAGGAGGAACCAGCGAGTGCTGGAGGAAGACCCAACACTCCTGGAAGTGGATTTCGGTAGATGATTCTTTACCAATGGAGCGGCGATGGCGGCACGAGTGGAAGGAAGTACCAACACACTTCAAACAATAATAACCAGTGTCGTCACAAGGGGGGTGCGGCCCACACCCGGATGACACCATTGGAGGGGTGACCCCCCTCTGAAAAGTCGGGCGCTCGGTCGTGGACCGAACGCCCAACAGTATCAGGAGAGAGGAGGGGACCCGGCGGGATTGCCGGAGCAGTCGATCCGAAGGGCTGCTGTACGGGATACTCACTATAGCCCGTACAGCAGCCGAAGGCGGCCGAGCGGCTCAGCTATGCTTCAGCGTGACTGAGCCGAAGTGACACCCGAACGGTCTGCCGAAGGCCCCGCAAATGACAGCTCCTCCCAGTTTTAATGACAGATCAGCGTCCCCAAATGACCTAGGGACGCTGATCTGTCATTAAACAATAACGACTGGGCGGGGCCAGCCGTGACGTCACCTGCAAATGACAGCTCCTCCCAGTTTTAATGACAGATCAGCGTCCCCAAATGACCTAGGGACGCTGATCTGTCATTAAACAATAACGACTGGGCGGAGCCAGCCGTGATGTCACCGTTGGCTCCGCCCAGTTGTTATTTATTGGCCCGGGACCTGCTAGAAGACTCTAGCAGGTGCCGGCCAATAGGAAACTGTCACTGCTAGCTCCGCCCAAATAGTTTTTAATGTTACTATTTATCTACATTTTTTTTCAACCTTATTTCTTTTTTTTTGGGACTCTTTTCACATATTATCTTTTCTGCTCGGTACCACGGATTTACCGAGCAGAACGGCCGCGCCGAGTGCCGCTCGGCAGCATTCGGCTATTGAGTCACTGCCGCTCGGCCCCTATGTGAGTGAGTGAGCTGCCGGAGCTTCGGCTCAGCCGATCCAGATGTGGGATCGGCTGAGTCGAAGTCCTTCTGCACTTCGGCTCACCCGAAACACAGCGGAGCATGTTCGGCTCAGCGAAGGCAGCCGATGTACGCCAGAAATCAGCCGCGCAAGCCAGAAGTGAATAGCCGGACGTAGTTCGGCTCACTTCACTTTCGGCTGGGTTGTTCACTCGGCTGCCTTCGGCAGCTTTGCGAATCACCCCCCTAGGTACCGCTTTCTCTTCCTTCCTGTCGATATTCCATGAGGATAAGTTCCAGTTCACAGCCATAATAATGAAGCTCGTATAGGAAGACATGTTAAAAGGAACATGTTCCATGCATTCTCTGTGTTCCAAGGTCTGCTGGGCTACAACAA